TCAGCTGAAGTAGCCTGCAGTGCTGCATTTAACCACTGCGCCACCTCGGCTCTTATAGGATGGATGGATAAGATAGGGTGGATCCCCCCAAAGGTACGTACAACTCAGCTCCAAAGTTCCAACAACCAGAAGTCATATGACCAAATTTCAGGTGCTCGACAACTGCCCTGTATTTATGGCTGTTTGCAGCATCCCTCAGTCACATGACCACAATTTACATTTTTCCTGGAAACTGGCATTTACTTTTTTGGCAAAACTGCACCATAGCCGGTAATAGGGTAAATATAGGTAGTCCTCAACTTATGACCAACAATTGAGCCCAAATTTTTTGTTGAGACATTTGTTAAGTGAGTTTTGTCCCATTTTTAGACCTTTCTTGCCACAGTTGTTAAGTGAATAACTGCGATTGATAAATTAGTAACCCTGCTGTTAAGTGAATCTGGCTTCCCCATTGACATTGCTTGTCACAAGGCTGCAAAAGTTGATCGCATGACCCTAGGAAACAGCAAAGGTCATAATTATGAACCAGCTGTCAAGCATCCGAATTTTGATCACATGACTATGGGGATGCGGCAACGGTCGTAATTATGAAAAACAGTTGTAAGTCACATTTTTCAATGCCACTGTAACTTTGAATGGTCACTAAACAAACTGTTGCAGGTCAAAGACTACCTGTAATTGTTGCAAATAAAAAGGTCATAAAATTGGATCCGGTCATGTGGTCACCTGCTGTACAACCTTCACGATGTATAGCCCTAATGGTCAGGCTCCATTACGGTCATAAGTCGAGGGGTACTTGTACTCTGCCTGCCATATGTAATTTCTAGCCAGCTGCAGCCTCTTGCAAATTTTGGAGGTCAACTGGGACTTTTAAAAAATAGCAGATTCAGGAAGATGGTTATCAAGAGAGACATATTCTTGAAAAACATGCTTAGAGTGACACTGCATCTTCGTATTTAGTAGATACTGAGGTCAGCAATAGGGCCTTATGGAAGTCTCTGCGTTGAACAGTCCAACCATTTGTTTAATCCCTTTCAAACAGATTCCCACCCACTCCTCACGCTGGCATTAGTTTTTCCTCTCTGCAGCTGCAGGGGAAGTCAGAACAGCAGGTGAAATTTTAATACACCCACCCAACTCATTCCAGCAGCCCCCGCCTTTTATATTACGGAAGAAACTTGTGCCACGTCCTCGGCAAAGGGGGAAAAACAAACACAAAACGCGATTTACACAGAAACTAGTACTCCAATCCAAATCTGCTAAACAGGAAGGGCTCCATCACTCAGCATTACAGCCAGGGGTGGTATACAAACCCAGTGGAAAATGTTAACCCAAGAAGCTTAATTGAATTATTTTAAGAGAGTTTTAAAAATATGGTCCCTCGTTATCATTTTCATGTCTTTGCTGAAGCCCCCTAGAGCTGCCTCAGAGAGATGGGAGGCACAGCAGTCAAAGAAAGCAAGCAAGCAAATTGCCTGCAGCTTCCCCACCATGAAAAATCCCTATGATTGCATTCTTTGAGGAGGAAAAACTAAGCGTCAGGCGCAAAAAACAAGGAGTCAGGAAAGAGTTCAAAAGCGCTGCAAGTTTATTCCACGCAACCTATACAACAAGAATCTGATCTATTATGGTCAATGCAAATGCCGCCAGATAAGAGCCAATGGACTTCAAAGGGAAGGGGCTGGAGTTAGATATTTTTTGAAGATGTAGGGGCTCCAGACTCATGGTCCATTTGACTCTGCCCTTGGGTTCAGTCTGTTCATCTCCTATACTAACAGAACACACCCAAGAAGCATTTGAATTGAGCTGAGGAAATTTTTACTGGCAAAAGCTGTTTGATATATAATAAGGGGGGGGGGAAGAGGGGCACACATTTGTAAAACGTACCTTTTATCTAAAGCTCGAAGCACCTTTGCGAAAACTTCTAGTTCGCAGAATTCGCTACCCAGCTGGCATAGTCGGCCTTGTTGGTAAAGCTGTATAAAAGAAGGTGAAAAAAGAAATGTTTTTTATTAATATAACAACAGGTACTAATTTCATACACAGGTTAAGTAGTGTTTGTTCAATTTCAAGACTCCTCTGAAAAGCTGGATCCTGAGCAGCTTTTCAAGCTAAAGAGATTTCATAACTTTATGAATTTAGCAAATATGGATTGGGGTGTGTCAGCCATTCCTTCCAGTATGATGGTATCTTGTGACGTAAAGATATATTATTACTTGCTGGACAGAAGGCAATGTATCTTGGATGTGGCATTTCAAACTAAACACACAGGTTTTATTTCTACAATGTATTAAAACATATTTTTAAAAAGAAGCCATAATGACTGGTTTCATCCCAAACTGTAAATCAGTGTCACAAGAAGAAATAAATTTATGGAAAACAGTTATATTCAGGGCCATTACTTCTGAATATGTAGAATTTGCATATACAGGTAGTCCTTTACTTAAGGTAAAGGTTCCCCTCCAACTCTAGGGGGTGGGGGTCATCTCTGTTTCAAAGTTGAAGACCCTGCGCTGTCTAAAGACGTCTCCATGGTCATGTGGCTGGCATGATTAAATGCCAAAGGCGCACGAAACGCTGTTACCTTCCCACCAAAGGTGGTTACTATTTTTCTACTTGCATTTTTACATGCTTTTGAACTGCTAGGTTGGCAGAACCTGGAACAAGTAACGGGAGCTCACTCCATTATGCAGCACTAGGGATTTGAATTGCTGAACTGCCAAAGTTCTGATCGACAAGCAAAGCATCTTAGCCACTGAGCCCTTGTCCTTTACTTACAACCATTCCTTTGTTTAGTAACTGGCACTGAAAAAAGTGATGTATGATTATTTTTTTACACATATGACACTTGTAGAATCTTCATGGTCATGTGATCAAAATCTGGACACTTGGCAACTGGCATGTATTTATAATGGTTAGAGTGTCCCAGGGTCATTTGATAACTTTTTGCGACCTTTTTAAAAGCCAGGTCAATGGGGAAGCCAGATTCACTTAACAACCGTTTTATTAACTTAACAACCTCAGTAATTCACTTACCAATTGTGGCAAGGAAGATTGGGAAACTGTCTTGCTTAGCAATGGAAATTTTGGACTCAGTTGTGGTTGTACATTGAGAGCTACCTGTACATAAAGGCAGTTTATTTCTGAATACCAGATACTACAAGCAAACAAAATGTTATTTTATTTATATATTATATCTTAGTCCACTTTATTTTCTATGCATTTCCCCCTCCCCCCCCATTTGAAATCTTCTGTCATCTTCTCCAATTCAGATATCTTCCAGATATAGTGTTTGCAATTCACAGGATTTTTGAGACAGCATTCTGGGACTTGAAGACCATACATTTGGAGGATAGTAAATTTAGAGAGAGCAGCCCCAAACAGATAGCTTGATGGGACCATGAAGAAGGAGGAGACAGGAAGACAATTCTTAAAATACTCCCCCCACCCCCAGTAAAAATATCTTTTGGGTTGTGCTTTATTTAGTTTTTGAAACACTCAAAAGGATTTGGCAGCTTTGTTTTCCCTGCCTTAGCAAATAATATATTGCTCTCCCAGCAATCTGCACAACTGTATAACTGGGGGAGGGGGGGGCATTTTACAGCGCTGCATGCTTTCTCCAAGACAAACAATGTGTTCTAGTTTGGGGAAACTAGATCTAATGTTCTATTAAAAAGACATTTCCTTGTGTGTGTGTTTTTTTTAAAGAACGACTTTTACACTGTGAAAAAAAAGCAAGCAAATAAATTCAGTAGCATTGAGAGGTTGCCACAAAGAAGAAAGGGTCCACCTGTACCCCAAAGCGCCCGAAGGCAGGACAAGAAGTAAATGGATAAAAAGTGATCAAGGAGAGAAGCAACCTGGAACTTCTAAGGAGAAATTTCCTGACAGTGAGAACAGTTAACGAGTGGAACAACTTGACTCCAGAAGTTGTGGGTGCTGCAGCACTGGAAGTTTTTAAGAAGAGACTGGACAGCCATTGGTCTGAAATGATATATGGTCTCCTGCTTCAGCAGGGGTTTCGACTAGAACAGTGTTTCTCAACCTTGGAGACTTTAAGTCCTGTGGAGCTCTGCTGGCTGGGGGATTCTGGGAGTTGAAGTCCACAGGACTTAAAGTCACCAAGGTTGAGAAACACTGGACTAGAAGACCTCCAATGTCCCTTACTCTGTTAGTAAACTGTCCTCTGTAGCGGAGTTGGCATATTGAAGTAAATGAAAATATGGCTATTTAGCTTGCAGTCTAAATAGGTACATTTTCAGCTTTTAACCCACCTAATTTCCCTCACATCCCAAAATATCCTAAAAACACCACTGGAGGGTAGGGAGAGCAAGCAGAAATTTCAGTTTTGCCATTCTGGTGGCACCTATGCTGCCTACAAATGTGAAATAAACAAATGAAAAAAGGCTGCCTGCCCAATTCAATAGCTCAGTGTTCTATGTTAATCATGCTATGCTAACTTGTTCAACAAATCACAGATTAATGTAGGTGGGAAGCTCAAAGCGTACTCATGGTGTTTCAATCATTTTTGTTTCTCAGCTGGCCAACAACCAGTGGGGAGGGACAGGTGAGGAAGTATGCAGACTCCAGACTCCGAGGAGAAGCCTGAGACTCAAGGATGCATCTGCAGGTGTCCGCCAAACCTAGAGATACTTTCTCATAACAATACAATACCACTTAATTGGACAATGTGACCTGCACTAACAGGGAGGAGGGGAATTTACATATTGAATTATGTGGGTCTGCATGGGAATTAGGTAGAGCTGGTTTTGCCTTTAATGGTGCCGAATTGATGTACTGGTATTCAATCAAGTTTGTGTGCTTGCTTTGGTTGGGATCATCAGTTGGGACATTGACATTAGGAATTAACCAGATCAATAATTATGTCATTAGTATTAATCATTTTAATGCTAATAGTTTGACTAATCAGGTTTTAAAGTCACAATATTCTGCTTTGCTATATATAATGTACATTACAAATATTAACACATCTCTGGCAATTTGATGACTTTCTCTGTATCTTAATTGCCCTTTAAAATAGTTGTAAACATTAATTATTTAGCAATTATATAACAAAAGTATTTATCAAGGAACCTCATTTGTTATTAAAACCCTTCCAGAACAGGCCACCTTTGTTGTAGATGGCACATTTAATTGGCCAGGTGCTAAAGGTTATATGTAGGGAAATTCCCACCAAGACTGTGGGAACTAAAAAAAAAAAAGATTATGAACTTGATTATGCTTGAAATAAATAGTAAGTTCATGAATTAGGTAAAACATCAAGAACGATTTAAAGCTGCATTTTTAGTATCAAATTTCCCTGAACCAACACAGCTTTCACATTCTGAATCTCTTAAAAAGAAACCTACAATGTAAACTCATACTTAGATTTCCTTTAAAATATATTGTGACATATTGGCAATAATAATAAAATCATACGTTTGGAAGAGACTTCAGAGGTCTTCTAGCTCCTGCTCAGTGCAGGAGTCCTCACACTATCTCAGACAAATGTCTCACTTTGCAAGAGAAATTCTGGGCTCAATTGTGGTCACGGACTACCTATATACCACTCCATAGTGCTTTACAGCACTCTCGAGGCAGTTTACAATGTCAGCATATTGCCGCCTCCAACAATCTGGGAGGTCATTTTACTAACCTCAGAATTGATGGAAAGCTGAGTCAACCTTGAATATTTTTTTCTCTCCAGTTATTTCTGCCCATCCTATCAGATCTAGCAGGATAGACATGCTTCAGGTTCTTTCCATAGGTATTGCCTTATGGAATCTGGGAGGGATGGAAGTGCCTGCTTTGTGGATGGGCTCTGCCACTGAAGTTTGGATAGGCTCAACAATGTTGGCCTTTCAGAAAGCCTTAAAAACCTGGTGCTTCTCTCAGGGTTTAGGGCCAAGATGTAAATGGAGCCTGGTTTGATGTTTGCCCTGTACTAACAGACCTATTTATCTGTTGTCTTTTATTGCCTGTTCTATTGTTTTCACTGATGTTTCTGCTTTTATGCTTTGTTAGCTGTCCAGAGTTTTGACTAATAAATCCACATCTAAGCTATTTATTTCTTTAAAAATGATAAGTCAACATTTCATATTTTAGCCAAGAAATCTTTGAGGGGGCACAGCAAATGTTTAAATTTGGCAAGAGTTTTTTAATAAGGAATTTTAAAAACAAAACAAAAACCCACAACCCAACAATCTGATTGCTATATTTTCTAATAACCAAAGTTTGCAAATTACATAGAAGTCCAGTTTGATGACTACCAATTGATGCACTACTGGAGCACTGGGGAACTGCCAGAGGAGTGGAAAAGAGCTGATGTGGTTCCCATCTTCAAAAAAGGGAAAAAAACAGATCCAGGAAACTACAGACCTATCAGCCTGACATCAAGTCTAGTTTAATAGAAAGAAGGACCAGGGGAGACATGATAGCAGTGTTCCAATATCTCAGGGGTTGCCACAAAGAAGAGGGAGTCAAACTATTCTCCAAGGCACCTGAGGGTA